TTAATGGTTCTTGGATTTAAAAAAAAAAAAATCTTTACAAACCTTAATGCTAAATCCAGGGCTCGAAATTCATTTCTGGGAATAGGTGCACTGGTGCACCCAACCTAAAAATTTTTTTGGGGGTTCACCATACACAACGAAACCTGATTACAGACCTTACTGCTCCTCTTCTAAGCTTGAATATGTAATGGCAACTAACTTTTCTTACAGAACTACTACAACAAAGATTTTATCATTTTCTGACAGATTCCAACAATATCCTGTATACTATCATACATTTAGTATGTAAAAAAATACGTACAAAAATATTTGTGTGCACCAGTGCACCCACAGAAATAAATTGGGTGTACAGCTCCAATTTTGGGTGCACTAAGGTGCACATGCACCCAGTATTTCGAGCCCTGAAATCTGAATGGTAAAAGAATAGAGTCTTGGAAGAAAGTCTGTACCTGTACTATTAGGTGTGCCAAGTACCTGTAACAGTGGGGATCAGGTGTCATCAACTGACCAGTCCAACAGGTCTGGACCTTTTGGCCTTGTGGTTAGTATGTAATTTTGTAAGCTGCAAGCCCAGGTTCGAATCCCGGGAGCCAATAGACTGTACTACTCGCACATTTCTGTTTCAGTGGTTCCCACACAGGGAATCGAACCAACGCCATGGCGGGTAGAGCGCCAAATCCTATGGTGGCAATTGAACCCCACTGTTACAGTTGAATTACAGGGAAAAACTGCAAAAACAGGGAGGCTACTTTGCAGCACCAAACTTGTGGCTTGTTAGAAAACGTGATAGAACATTTGCATTTCATGTATTACGATGATACATGTATAGATATAATATATATATACGTACAATATACTGACCTTCAAAACTGACACAAGATTATATTGGTAAGCTACATCAGACTGGGACACTTCTTCAATCAATGGCAAACTTGGAAGTTTGACAGGAAAATCCAACACTGATGATTGGTTAGGATCTGACCAATCACGTGGTCGTAACAGGTCATGTGATCATCACAGCCAAATGTCCAGGACGATCAAGCTATACCTGTATAAGATGACCCTCCAGACAGCAATGTTGTGTTATGTTATATACATGTGCCCCCCTCCCCACCTTTAATGGGATATTAACATTCAGGATGTCACCGATGACATTTAATGCAGATGTGAGGTGTGTGAACAAGGACCTTCAAGTACAAATCTCGGTGAGCCAATCTGCCTACTGTCATGAGCCTCATGACAGATCACGATTGCGGGTTCACCAAGCGCCTTTGTACAGCAAAGATCCCAGTCGTGCAAACTGCTACTCATGACTATATTTAAAATCAGTGACCGAAGACGGGAGACCAAAAATAAAGAAAAGCATGCCCAAGGTCACAGACACAGTGTCTGGAACAGAAATTTATGACAGCAAGAATCGTCATGAAAGTCAATGTGATGCCTGAGCAAGAAAGAACTACAAAATACACTGAGATGCAAACAGTACAGATCTTAGCCAAGACAGCAATTTCCCTACTTAATAATACTTAATAGTAATCTTAAGAATCCATAGAAACGTTAGTTTTGAATCTGGATCTCGGTACTTTAATTCATGTCTGAGCTCATGCAAGGCCCACCTACCAGCTAAGCTTTAAAAAATGCAATAGAAAACTTTTTTTCGTGTTCACTAAAAGTATAACTTACCAACAAAACCGACACTGGTGAGAAGAGAACTCATTCCCCACCATCTCCCTACACCCACAAGGGCATGGCTGTCAAATTCTACTCCTGACCGCAAAACAAGATGCCTCTCAGAGATCAAACTGTTTATAAATGTTTGTCCTCCGGAGAGGTTTGTGTGCCCCCAAGTTTACAACATACTTGGCCGGGACCAATGCTTTCTCGTTAGAGTACACGTATCCACTAGTAATTCTTTCACTTTTACTCACAAAATAATGAGCTACAATGTGAAAGTTATGTATGAAACAGAGACTTGTGACAAAGAAACTATTTCACTGATCCCCGACCCAAACCCCCATACCCTAACACTGATAGGGTCTAAATTCAACAATAAGTCATGCAAAATCTTGAGCATATGTATAAAGCTGCTTAAGATTGTATTTGTAAAACCTAAAGTCTTGGACAATTGCATGAAGAATTCTACTCGGTCACTATGGTAACACATTGTTCGTTCAAATATCCAAGCATGACATCTTCTGTGTAAAAGTATGTAAGAAGTACAGAAGCTTTATACATAACAAGGAAAACAAGGAAAAGCACCAAGAAGACGAAACCTCTAGTAAACTTTCTGTTCTTTTCACAATGTTTAAGATTCCTCAAAAGTATTCCTGGATTTAGATCTGGCTCAAAATTAAATCACTTGCTCTTTTGGCCATCCCCGATACATCTTAGCAAATCAGTCTTGTTCAACCAACCAAGAAACTACCCTACCAATACATGTACCAACATAATCCTTCTGGCGAAGGTACATGTGCATGTAAATATAACAGCTATACTGTGGGACTTTACACCATTCACCCGTCACAGATGAATACAATTTAATGAAGAGTAATTTTAAGATCCACCTGTCATGGTGGACTGATTCCAACTACTTCGAGTGAATCTTCAAAAATATCTTTTACCACCACTGCCATATAAAGTTACAGTGCAGGTTGAGGCTCTTACCCAAGGTTTAACTACAAATAAGATTTGAGATGGTAATACAGTGAACAAGCTTAATTTTCAAACACAAATGACTACTCTAGTCCGAAGGACAGCTGTCTAAATCTAGGTTTGATGCAATAGGCTGTCTTTGAGAGCAGAAGCTAAAAGTGTCCTACTTTTTTTTTCAAATGCCAGCCTGGATCGATTTTTATCTACTGGTCGAGAATTTCGTTTTCCACTGTCTGCTATAGAGGTCAAATAAGGATATCTTTTGGAGACATCTTTGTGTAACTATTTCTTTAGAATGTATTTGAAGAAAGAGCTAAAATGTAATGGTTTCAATAAAGTTATGTATCCAGCTGGAGGTTATTAATTATGCAATCAAAGGCAGAAAGACAAGACCATCGAACTAGTATGTTATGGGATTCAATATTTCCTGCACAGTCCTATTTCCAGAACGAAATATTTTGCGAAAAAAAAAGTTTCACTAAATCCGATACCGTATGGTCTAGCTTTTCAAAACATATTTCAAGAGGAATTCGGGATAAACATTTCTTTGTCCATGCAACACCCTCTTGGAGTATATCTCAAGCATTGCTACTCATACTTTAAGATAAGATTATTTCTTGCTTGTGATCAAATTGGTACTTTGGAACTGTAGCAAACCTACTTACATGTACATGTAACCATGCAGTTGAGTGTTTTGAATATTCCTTTCTTCCATGAAATCCAGGCACAAAATAGCCCATGTTTGATCAGCCTTTGCAGCTGTTTTCAAACGTCGTCATTCCATTGACAAACAAGGAGGCAGCAAAAGGAATTATTTTCCAGAATTCTGGTTGACACAAAATTACAACTTAGAGAAGCAATATTAATACAAGATATTAATACGTTAATCTTCTTTTTATATATAATGTCACCAGTTGGTAAGTTTCATAGTTTTTAAGATCAACAATTTTACATTGATGTGATGGTCAGATTATAGAAACAAATCTGGTTTTATATGAAAAAATTCATGTAAAACTAAGTCCAAAGCTTGTCCTGTACTGTTGCAATGAACCCTAATCAGTAGGGTGCATGCTCTGCATTGTTTAAATCAACTTCACCACACAGGAAGACTTGGCAACCATGACCAAATCCACTACAAAACCAACCAAATCAAGTTATTCCTTCACAGTTGTAGAATCTAACAAACATGTGGCAGCAATAACTGTTATATTAGCAGCACTGGGAGAAAAGGGAAGCACAGATTGTTGAAAAGTTGAACACACGTAAGTGGTGATACTTAAAGAACTGGGGAGGGGGAGGGGCACAATGGCCACACTTCTCTTTTCTAGGCACCAAATTATAATCTTAGGAAATACCGATACTTACGGTGGCTATTACACAGAAACCTCACCATTATCACACATACATAAACGTTAACTAGCTACTCATTCCCATAATATCACTACAGAATGTCTTGTAAGGAAGCGGTTTCGTTTGAAGATTCTTATTTTGCGTGGTAAGTCCGGCAGAGGTCAACACTAGGAAGACTTGAGTAGTCCGGGTGGGAGGACCACAGTGAGGCCAGAGGGGGAGGTCTCCAAAAGGGAATTCTCGGCAAAACCTCGGCGCTCAGGCCGCCATAAACAGACGTATTACCCACTATCTGTCGTGGTGAGAAGACAAGTGGGAAGATGATGATGGTTTTGAGGTAATTATGATTTTTTGGTAAACATGAGATGAGTTGGTGGGGCGGGGCCGCTGTCCGGTGGACTAGGGGGTGTGTGACCGTGTCCGATACATTCCGAACAGGCGGTGCAGGTTGCCCCACATTAGCCGCACTTGCTGTCAAGTAGCGGCACACATCTGGGACATTTAACCCCCAGAACGTCGGCATACAAACCGTAGACAAGTCTCGACTGACAGCTGAGGACATTTCGTGCACATTTTGGTCAAGAAAGCGAGAGAGTTTCGAGGCATCGCCAGTAAACATTATCCATTTATCACAAACAACCATAGCCGGAAAACCTCTCACATACCCCACAGTATCGCATTCCTGAACTGAGTCGAAAAATCTCCCAGCGAAGGAAACCCAGGCCTGTAGCCGACAGCCTGCTTGGGTCACTCGCTGGCTGCCATATCTGTCCAGCTAAGTTGGCGACAGGGAAGCCATGGTCTTCAAAAGGAACCACCCTCTGTACCATCACTAGAGCGCCATGACAGCTGAGCACGGCCGTGGCATCTACCGGGCCCAGCCCCCTACAACCGGCTCCCCTGTACACCCCGATCCCGGGCCTCCCAGCTTTCAACCCCGGGCAAAACTCAGTCCAGACCCTTGCACATTTGCACGGCTATTCTGACTGTGATTTCACCTTGTATTTGCTGGGCACTCGCCCCCATCTCGTCACCACTGTCCCGGTCCGACATGATCGCCTCTCCTAGTGCAGCAATCTCGCCAGCCTCGCTTCGGTGCCTAGTCATGAATAATTCATGAGTCTGGGCTCTCCACAACCTCAAGCACTCAACATAAAAATCCCCCTAAAACTCTTAGAAGGGCGCTGGTGTATAGCAAAACTTAACAAAACATCAACCAGAAATAATGTTTTATTCTCAATATTTTGTTGGGTGCTCTTCTGTACAATGAAGCGCAATGCACAAGTTTTTACTCAAGTTGATAATGTTACTAAATACTGTTCATAGTTAGGAGTCATAGGAAAATTGAGAAAAGAACTTTCCTGAGTAATGTTAGTTTTGTTGGAAGAAAAGAGCTTGCCCCCCAAAATGTAACAATTATATATGCCATCAACTACCTTGTGAAGCAAAATATTTCACTGGTGCTTGGACATTCTACTTTTGTTGCTTTGAGTGTCTGGTTTTCTGTAACTAGTTTTTCCCATGGGTACAATTAGGAACATAATTGGAATGCTAAGGTCAGAGGTCAAGGTCAAGTGAATGACGCTTCATCAATGGTATCAAACACACCTCCTTTTACTTGACTATATTCTTCACATCTGTGTCCATGACAAAAAAAAAAGTCATCATCATAGTTGAATACTTTGTTGACGTTACAGTAACCGTCACAGACACAGTTCGTTATCAAGTCAACTCCCAAAAGGGCTCATTCATGGCATAAATGCAGTTGTGATTATTTCTTTGTTTCATGATTTTTCAGGGAAATTATGGAGTGGGCAGGCCAAATGAAAATAGAAATATAAAACATGCACCCTGTGATAGACCCATATAATATATGCCATAAAATCGCCATAACGTTACCTGATCTCCAAGCAGATTTAAGGATTTGGCTCAGCTTTCTTTTTGCTGCACCTGCCGCCACTGTAAATGTATAGTTCCACGAACATGTCCATTTTTCTCAGACCGCGAACTTTTCCTACATTGCGAATATTACAGTATGACCCTGTATGACCAGATCCATATGCAAAGTAAACTGGTGAAGCCACATAGCGTTCAGACTGAAGTTGGAATGCGTTGAAGCCGGTTTGGAACTACCGAAGTGATTTGGGATCAAGCCGGTTTCCATGCAATCAGGCAGGGCCACATGAATCCTGCTTCCATAGAATCCGGATTGAATCTGATTCCACAAGCTTAGTGGTGTGAAGAGGGGGAAATACACCTTGAAGAAGGCCCAGGGTACCTTGCAAGTTAGATTACCATATCATCATCATCATCATCATCATCATGCTGTGAATGACAATGCTGTGAATTTTTACAGGTTGTTTCATATGTAGCAAAGTTAAACATGACTGTCTTTCTGGTGCATAAGCTACGTCTTTGCCAAAAATGTTATATTTTTTGTATGTATGCAGGTATGTATGGGATGTAACATTATGTACAATCAAGAAACTATGGATGGATTGTCATGAAACTTGGTAGATGGGTAGGTCTTGATGAGACTTCGAAATGAATAGATTTTGGGCTCCATGGCAGCTTGTTGCGGTACTGCAGCAAAACTTCCTGTTTTGGTATGTCGTGATCTGGACATCCAAGGGTCGACAATGTTGGTTAACGTTAGCTCAGAAAGATGTGATGTGAGTTTAGGCCCCCTAGCAGCTTGTTCTGAAACTGCAGATGCGGTTGTTTGAAAACCTTCGAGGAAGAAAAATTCATGAACAAGTTGATGAATACTAGTAGTTAATTTTGGCATGTAAGTTAATTTAAGTGATGCTTAACATAATTAGATGGCAATTTTCTCTATCTTATCTAATAGTAACAGGACCTAATTTGCATAATCAATGAGGAAATTCTTTAAATCAGTTGCATTCCATGATAGGAGTATTCAAACTTGTGACATGTAATTGGGAATGACAGGAACACCAACAGTTAGCATAATTAATGAGAAGTATAATTTCATAGTGGTGACAGAGATCAAGTCTTTTTTTTGGGATATTAGCAATCTACCGCTTCTGTGATGTCATGTTATGCAGGTGACACATCATAGGTTGCAGAAAGTCTGTGCCCCCTTCCCCCAGTCTTTGTCGAATCATCTGTGTCATCTACATAACTTGATATCACAAAAGCGTGGATTGCTCAGTTTTGTAGTTTGGTTAAGGAATTTCCATCTGTGTCCATAATATCACCAGGGTCCATAATATCGCCACCTTGAGAAATAGTGCGCGTAAAGATGTTTTTACTGCAACATACCCTAGGTATGTTTGATGTGTGAAGGAGTGCATACAAAAAGTATGTTGCAGTAAAAATATCTTTAATTAAGCACACTGTTTCTCAAGGTGGCGATATTATGGACCCTGGTGATATTATGGACACAGATGTTATAGGAATTTACAGTTTAAACTTTCATGATGACTTCTACCAACACAGATGAACTTTCAAAGTAATATGGTTGCAAATTGTGTGGCAATAAATGACAATATGCAAAATTGCTCAGAAATGGATATGAGCAGAACAAATTCATGTGTTCAAATTACATAGGATTGTGGGCTGTCCTACAGTTACACCTATCTTGTCTGGTAAGAATTGGAGCTGATGAAATATATTGGTAACCAGGTAAAACTCTCGGCCAGACATGTTTTGTTATGTAAGCTTCCCCCTTGTAAATTTTAATTTTCATATTCACAGTTCTTGTGGTCACTGCTGTACTGTGAACGTATCATTACGATAAACAAATAATTCACCGACCTACTTGTTTGCTGCATCTGCCACCACCGCGAACATATGGTTTCGGCATTTCGCGAACATGTCCATTTTTCTCAGACCGTGAACTTTTGCTACCACGAACATCAAGTGATTTACAGTATTACAATCTGCTGTTTAGAAAATCCTTGTTGTTGGAAGTTTGTTGCACCATGATTATCAAAAGTAGTCCATGATGGGACATGTTTCTTGCCAAACAAACTCCAATCACTGTTTCACAGTTTGTACCCAGTGTTGGAATTAGTTCAGCATTGTACTAGCTATATGTGAGTGTGAACAACCTGTATAGCCTATTTCTTTGCAAAATCATACATTTGCTTCGCATATTTAGTTCTTGTCTTTAGGCCTCTGGTTATTAAAATAATTAACTCCTTCAAGGTGCTACTAAATTTATGTTACATGCAATGTGTCAAGTTTGATACAGTTAGAAAATATATTGTATGACAAACTTTCCTCATGCCTTGTCTTCAATTTCTCACTCTCGTAAGTAACTTGGATGCTTATTGAACAACCAACAGAAGCAGAAATCACAGCATTGTTCAAAGATGCATTTATTACAAAATCTTCGGTAAAAAAACATACACTCTTTGAGTGCATTGCAACAAGAATGGAATCTTTAAACAGTTTAAAAAGGCATTTGACAAAGTTGAGAATTTGACACATTGTAGCTGCCATTGAAGTTTCTTGGGACTTGAACCATTGATACGGGATGGTCCATTCTGAGGAATTCATCAGGACATATTGCACAGTCTGTGAGGGAATGTCAGAGATGCAGCATGAAGAGATGGTGTCTGATACGGCACACTGAAAGGTGAAAAAAATAAACAATGTTTCAAGACAATTCTTTGCAATCCACATGTAACATAGTTCAATACACAAAGTTTGGGCCATTTCTCAAGTTGTGATGCTTCTTGTCTCGTCAAGCCTTGAAAAGTACATGCAATGATTACATTTTTCCTTGTTGTCAAAAGAAGTACATTCCTCTTATATGAAATTTTTTTTGTATGTTTCAGCCAAGGTTGAGAGCTTTTGAAACTGACTAAAAATCTGAGAATTCATAAGTACAGAAAGGAACCACAGAATCATAAAAATTAGGAGTCAAATGGGGGCTTTTTACTCAGATTAAGAATCAAATGCATTAGAATAAGTCTTGCTTCAAATTGATTAACTTTCTGATCTAACTTTCAATGAAAGTCAACAACTTGAGAGATGGCTGAAGTTCAGTTCCAGCTATAGCAAGGGTGCAAGTAGGCAGTTAAGGTAATGTAACATTAGAATCTATGCTTTGAAAAAACTTGATGAGCAGCTCACACCCTGTTATAGGCTGGAGCTTAGAAAGGTCACTACTTTTGGATCTCAGTTGAAGTCTGTATGAAGTACATTAAATTAAGGAATGGTCTTTTTTTCTATGGTCGGTGGGGAAACACAAGTTTTTCCCTAGGCCTTACCATGGAAGCCTTCAAATGAGAGTAACTCCAAAAGTTCTGACCCTTCCAATTTTCATGCAAAGTACTAAAACATTCCACCGCAGATATAAGATCTAGTTCCCTTCGTGTTGTTGTCCCAATACATACCCATACCTCTTTCTGTACTTCTCATACTCCCCTTTCCATCCCACAACTATGTGACAAACATACAAGATGACTGGTCTGATGCTGCCTACCTGTACACTTCCTAGCACTCCCTCAAAACCAACCGAAACACGGAGAGCAGCAGCTAGCTCACTTCTCCCCCTCTGGCATCTTTGTGGCTAGCTCACTTTCTTCTTAGAACCCAAGAGGCTGCCCTCCGAGTCTAGCTGATGTAGCTTTTCAGTCGAGGCTAGATGCACTCTCCCCATTCTCTCTCTGATAGCCCAAGAGTCTTTTTATGGGCCGTAGCTAGCTTTCTTCCTAGTCTCTCCCAGTTCAGTTCTACTGACAACTCTTGCTAGCCTCAGCTCAGTACTTTTGGCTGGTATGTCAAGTGACTTCAGACGACCTCTCGTTGGCTGCTAGCTGACTTCTCTGAACCAGAGGGTCGTCTGTCTGCCTCTCTCTCTCTCTGAATGTTCCTGACGCTTCTGGGTGGGCTAGCTGGCTGACCTTTCACCCAGATATGTCGTCTGTTGCTAGCTGTGCTGTTGACTGTTATTGGTAGCTAGGTGCTTTCCTTGGCTCGGACTTTGCTATGTATGAGTCCGCTGTCTCCTCTCCTTTGAGCACACTGGCCATTGCACAAGGAAATGGCTCCTACTACCTTGCAGGAATTATGAGGTAGACTTGTACAACGTAGATTGGTAACCACATGCGTGTAAGCTGTGTTTGTAAGTGTAGCGTTTCAATCAAATGACAGTTAAATATAGAGTTTTGAACTGAAAGATGAGGCTGCAGTACTTACTTCGAATTTAACTGTACAAGTGTATTTTAGAGTCATTTCAGCATAATTTTGGAAAATGGGGTGTGTATGTATAAGTATGTATGTAGACATCAAGTTTGTTTAACTGCCTGATTCAAATCCACAATCATCAAATACATATACTGGCATGCCTCTTCATGCCTCTATATTTTGAGAGTGAGAGAGTATCACATTGAGGAGAAATCAGTAGTTTACTGTAACCATTTAAACTTAATTTTGAAATAGTTCTGAAGTATGATCCCATCTCCCCACAATGTTTCTATTTGTATTGTGATTTCTAGTAACAATGACAGTTGTCTTCACAAGGGGCAAAGTGTCTGTCACACGAATAAAAACATTTATTTCCAAACAGAGACTGCTGACACATCTACTACAATTTTGCAAGACGTGCACACATGCACAGAACGTCTGATAAATAGAAGTGGAAAAGTGGTTTAAAAATCCCATCCTGAAAAACCCTTTACAACTGTCTGAAATTCCAGTCCTGCCAACAAGAAATTTTACCCTTTTCTTGATAATCTGCAAAACACTTAGCATGGTATGCACTGTCTTGTTAGTATTAGAATAATGTGTTCACCATTTCAAATCTCAAAAAGCTACAGCTGGAATGTCGTTGGACCCTCTTCAAAGGGATTTCGGGATACTCCTGTTAAAAAAGACTACCTGACCTGCACCACTATGTTGTCTTGACTCCTTTAATTCAATCCTTACTGTCTTTACAAATACAATATACACAAAATACTTATCTCCTACACTGACTGAAAAGAAACATCAAAAGCATACTACATTCTGGTGTCTAACAAAGCTTGCTGGAATAAAATGGAGATGGATCCCTTCTTATGTCCAAGCTACTTTAGGAGGATTATAGCAATAAGAGTCCATGATTTGGCCTTGATAAGTTGGAGGCTTCCCATAATCCTTTGCTGCCATGTCTGTGTGTCTGTACTTCCTGTCTGTGTGTCCTACTTCCTGTTCTGGCTTCTCATCCATCATATACTGTTGAAACTCAGCTTACTAACCTCACTGTCTGGCCTGTTGGTACATAAACGTGGCTATGTTAGGAACAACAGCAATGGCACCACACTGACGTATAGCTGACAGACACGCTAAGGCGATAATATCTGCTGCCGAAATACTCAACATGTAAACTGATTAAAAACTAACTGCATTTGTGTCTTTAGCTTTAAGCTGTGGCAATCCTATGGCTTAGGTGGGAACTGTTAATAATACCCTGACAGACACTGCAACCTACCCGTATTCCTAAGCTATGTTAAGGTTTACGTCTCACCTGTGGATGGCAGACTTCCTAGTATCTGCGCTGGCCGCCGCCGCCGCCACCATAGCCCCCGCCGCCACCACCGGAGCTATAGCTCCCTAAAAAATCGTAAGGTCAACGTTAGCACCTTTTAATCAACATGGAAAAATCCCTGGCCTGTCCTGTCAAAACCAAGGTCATTGATGGGAAACATGAAAAGATTGAATGGGCACAAAAGCTGTTTCTACACACAAGTCTTATGGTAATCTTGTGAGCAAGCAGCGACCATGTTCCTTTGGTGGTGTTATGTGGTATCCCTATTCTGGTAGACCTGTCTATCCTTCACAGGCAGAGTCACACACACACACATAATAAACATCAATCTACAAGTATCATCCAATTATATTCCTATGAATAATGCTACATGAAGGTGTTGACTGTTCATTGTGGTTTTTATCTTTGCTTTTCCAATATATTTTTACTTAATGTGGTGTACATGTACTACAGAACTGTTTCAATTGTTTCGCTACGAAAACTTCCTTCAAGAAAATGAAATCTGTGCAAATACAAATGAGTTTTTGGTATTGTTTTATAACAACGTTGCACACCTCCGTATGGGCCCCCTCCCTGACGGCCGCCGCCGCCATACCCCCCGCCGCCGCCCCCGCTCTTCATGGGGCCATAGTTGGACTGCTGGCTGCCGTAGCCACTGCCAAAGTCACTGTAGCCTCCGCCACTGCTACCTCCATAGCCACCTAATCAAAGGAAGTTAATAGTCAATGGAGACACCATAACAGTGATGACAGCTATAGCAATCAGTTCAGTTGCTATAGCAATACTTTTGTTCATCTTCAAATGGTTAAAACGATTTTTTAAAATAATATAGGTGTTATGGGAATGAGAAATATTGGGAAGAAGGAAAACACAAAAGTTTTAAATAGAGACATTTTTTAGCCTTTTTGTTACTAGGGATGATGCGGTAACAATTCTGTACATGGATTTCAATTTCAATATCAGATTAAACCCATGTTGATCTTGTTAAGAGTTGCTAGTAAGAAATGCATATTTACCACTGCTGCCTCCATAGTTTCCACCTCCACCTCCACTGTAGCCTCCGTCGCCTCCGTATCCACCTCCGCCTCCGCCATAGCTGCCACCGCCATAGCCTCCACTGCCGCCTCCGCCATAGCTGCCACCTCCGCCTCCGTAGCTACCACCTCCTCCGCCATAGCCGCCGCCTCCTCCGCCATAGCCACCTCCGCCGCCGCCATAGCCGCCTCCACCCCCTCCATAGCCACCTCCGCCGTAGCCTCCACCCCCGCTTCCACCGTAGCCTCCACCTCCGTAGCCGCCGCCTCCGCCATAGTTCCCATTGTTGTAGCCACCTGTGAAACAAACAAACATCAACAGATTATTCATACAAACAGTTTATCTTTACGTCTTGTCAACCCTCCACCTGTGTTGTTCCGTGGAGTGCAGTGTTGCGAGTCTTCTGTGACTGCAATTACCAACAGGTCGGTTAATACCTACCTCGATTATAATTGCCCCTGTCAAAGCTACCATACCTCCCATCCCCTCCTCCAAAATTGTGCCTCCTTTGGCCATAACCTGTTTGCAGGGGGTATTCTGTGCAAGTTGCTGCATTCTTAGCAACAACATTCCAAACCATGATCATAAGCCAAAAGATCCAGTTGCTGACTCATCTATTGTGTGCCTGGTTTCAGTATTTCTCAGAAAGTGCTACCCCAAAAAGCTAATACAAACACTTCCGTTTTCAACTCATGAAAAATCTAGCCAAGATCACCATCACGAGTGCTAAACACCCCAGAACCACATACAAAAAGAAAAGCAAACACCTTAGGCAAAGTACCTGCTTGTCAAGAACAGATTCTTAGGAAATCACTAGAATATGTTTGCTTTACCACCATACCAAACCTGTTGGGCAGACATTGATATTTTGAACTAAACATGTCCATATCCATTAATACTATAGCCTTACTACAATGACAGATTTAAACTCGGTGACAAGACTGACTTACCCCCGCGGTCACCGCCATAGCCGCCTCCGCCATAGCCGCCACCCCGGCCACCGCCGCCTCCGTAGCCGCCCCGGCCACGTCCTCCGAAGCCGCCCTGGCGTCCGCCGCCACGACCACCGCCGCCCCCTGCCTGTTGCTGAAGGCGCTGCAGCTCTTGTTTGGGGACAGCCTTCTTCACCTCCGACTTGTGACCATTGATGTCGTGGTACTTTATGCCTGGTAATGAAGAATAACTTGTTATTCTTCTCTCATTTCACCAAAACAACTTTAGATCTTAGTCAAGTCTCAAGTAATGTTTGCTTTCTGAGAAGCTTACTGCTCAATCAGTTGTTGCAAATCAATTGTGTTTTGATGTCTTTTAAATCCTACTTTTTGTTCCTAGAAACTGCCTGACCAAGCCCCGGTTTGGAAATGTGACCTCGGCATTACATGTACCGATAATTCATAACTTTTTATTTTATTAACAGACAGACATTTGGCAAAAGCTATATCAGGATTCTGACTATACATGTGCAGCGACACTGATGTGCTGTGCAAAATATGCCAAAGTTGAACTTGAAGGGCAAGGCCATGGCAAGGCCCTATCAAAACCTAAAGATTGGCATCACTGAGAAAAAACTGTTTGCTGACAGTGTGCTCCAAACTAAAGAAAACTGGTCCCTCCTAGTCCTACTTACAGGCAATCTTGTCCACAGGATCGTGATCATCGAAGCTGATGAAGGCAAAGCCGCGCTTCTTCCCCGTGTCCTTGTCCGTCATGACGTCCACCGACTCGATGGTGCCATACTTGGAGAAGTACTGTCTCAACATGTCCTCGTCTGTGTCGTCCTTGATCCCCCCGACAAAAATCTTCTTGGTGCAGACGTGCGCTGTGGGGTTATTGGAGTCCTGGGACAGAGGAAACATGTCAAATATACAATTGAACAAAGGCAAATCCCAAGCAGATTTATGATGGTTTTGTGGTCCAGTTTTTCTCATTGAATGTGTTGCTTGCTCCTAAATCGATAACAGGACATCAATGAAACCAATACAATTTCAAAGAAGCTGATAATATATATATATATATATAATATATAGTGTAGTGTATAGTGTATAGTCATATTTACATTACCAAAAATTACATCTGAATTTTTTAAAAAACACAAGGTATCAGGACAAATTCAGTATTTCATCAAATTTTTCTTTTTTTTTTTTAAATTCCAATTGCATTAAGTTATTGATTATTTTCATGGCATCATCTTTCAATACCTTACCTCTCTTGACACAGCTCTTTTTGGTTCCACTTCTCTTCCATCCAGCTTGTGTGGTCTGCTTTTCATGACTTCATCTACCATGTATGCTCTCTTGAACGTAACAAACCCAAACCCCCTGGACCGCCGAGAGTTGGGGTCCCGCATCACAACAACATCTACAATTTCCCCATGTTGCCCGAAGTGTGCTTTCAGGCCATCCTCGTTGGTTTCATAACTGAGGCCGCCGATGAACAGCTTACGCTGCTGCTCGTTTTCGCGGCGATCTTCTCCGTCTGAGTCCTGTAAAGGCAATACGAAAGTCATCAGTTCCTCTGGTAGTGGAAACATGAATTTGTTGGTGTGAGAACTGAGAACACTAAATCATGTCTGACATACTGTAAGTGTAATTCATGATTTTTCCATGGAACTTTTATGTTTGCAGTTTTTATGGTCACTTCTGTACCGCAAACATGCTATGGTTAACAAATAATTTGCCGACATTCTCTTTTCTACACCTGCTGACTGTTACAGTGAACATGTAGTCCCACAAACATGTCCACTTTTCTTAGACCACAAACTTTTGCTACCACGAAGATCAATAGTAAAGTTTAGGACAATCATCTCAAAACGTTGACCTATGAGATATCAAGGATTTTAGGCCCCTTAAAGTATTTATATTCAATGTGAATTCAGTTCAGTTCAGACCCATGTTTATTTCCAAACCCTGTGTTTGTCCTTCTCGTTGTGAGACTCAGTTATTAATGGGTCAAAATGTAAATTCCTCAGTGACCCAATATGCAGATATGTTGTAGTAAGGAGCAGGATAATTAAATCCCACAGAAAATTAGAAATAAAATTGACATGTAAATTAGATCAGCTCAAATTGCCATGACACCTCATTTACATTGTCTAAAGTCTTACAACAACAAAAAATCCAGATAAAACGAGGATATTTCTTTCCAGGGACCTCCCTAAACAATGGAGCAGTGGAGCTCCTCCACCCAGTCCTTATCTCAGCTCCACCCTGTTAATTTTCAAAACTAGTGTTTTTACACCCTTTTCCAGGGTTCTTTGGTCAAATTTACAGATATTTCGCACCCTCCTCCATTCTGTCCCAAATTTCTGGGGAGATCCCTGCTTTCATCTGTCGTTTCAAGAAGTTGCTGAACTTACCCACCAAGAAATGATATATGGCATAGCCTAGTCAACATGTGCCAAAAATTATGAGGACCACTTAAAATGATTTCTCCCTATAATTTCGTCTTGCTTTCATTTGTCTTTGTTAAACATGAGCACCGAGTCCCTTTAAAAAAATCATCCCCCTTCACAAAAAAAAAAACGAAAAGAAAAACTACTTATTAGTACTTTTTTAAAAGAATGAAACTCAAGATGGTTTAACATTTTGAGGTGACCTAGTTTTTAGTCTAGTGCAATAGACATTGGGACAACAGCCAATCCACAGGACCCACGCCAAACAGAGAACAAAGGGCCCACGCCCAAGCCCACGCTGCCAAGTCTTTCACCAAAAGCTAAGACTGAGAAGCCAGCCAAAAAAATAACGCCACGATATACAGGCAAAAGCAACACGTTGCAAAGTCTGCGGGAGCTGTGAAGTTAAGTGATTTGTAATAAATGATAAATCGCAAGACAGATACAAAACAGGAGGAGAAAGATGGCGACGCTAAAACAGCAAGCCATTTCCTGCTTCTTTGCAAGCCTTATAAAACCTGCATCTTTGGCGAAATTCGAGCTTATGCAATAAGTTTTATACACTCTATAAGTCCGGCAATGTATCGTTAATAGGGAATAACGGCGTACGTTTCATAATAATGAAATATGACCAATATATGGAGATAATACGGGAGAGTACTCACACTCATGTTCGTTGCGCCACGTTTCAACCAGAGGAAGTGTGGAAAATCACGTGGTGCTAATTACTGCATTTTCCGAAAAAACACGACGGTCTACGGAGAAAGCCGAAAATTACAGTCCCATAGTTTTTTCAATTTAATGCGCAAAATATAAAAATATGTAAACAGTAAGAATCTTTTCTACGATTTACTCATATTATGTACAAATTCTGTGGTTTTGTATGTGTGAATCTGATAATAAAGTAAAAGTTTTATTTTCGGGAAGTTTCCGAAGATTTCCGATGAGAACCGAAGTCGATAGCACGCATGCGGCCTAGACTTGATTTTTTTGGCGGGCAACCAGAGGGGGATCATTGCTACACACTGAAAGGTAAGCACGACACTACAGCTTGTTTTGAACAACTTTTCTTTCCAATTTGATTCTTATCATTCTGTTTCCTTGTCACACTAGTTCATGCCGACCTCTCCAAATCTTCAGGTCATTTATATATGGGAAGGTTTGGTCAGATAGTTGCCTTTAAAAGGTGGTGTCGGAGAGAAAAGGTCTTCGAAAATTTCCCATTTCTTTTTCCAACATGGCCGCCTTGCGGTCACGATGAAGACTCTCCACAACGTAGCTCCTTTTGTACTCAACTTATCTGTTTAGTGTTTGGAAAAGAAATGTAACGCGAAGCGTTAACGTGACTTTGGCGTTCCTACACTAGTTTAGGCGGGATATATGTGTAGATTTTCCCTCAGGTCAGCTCGTGGTGTGGGTAATTATGTATATGGGAGCGCGAGCAAGTTTTCTCGTTTTCCCCCCAAAGGCCCCACGCCGTCCAACTATGCAGTACTCACCTGGCCCGTGAGTCATCTAGGGTGACAGACGGGATATTTTTTTACTGAAATCTCGATTTTTAACACCAAACATAGGTAATATGAGGTACAAAGTTAAGACAGGTGTGTTTTAAAGCTGAATAGATATGAGTATGTTGGAATTTCTTTGTTACTTCTAGGGAAATTGTCAAAAATATGGTGCTGATACCAACCTGTTGTAAATAACGTGGCACTGAATGTGGAAGAGCGGGCGGGGAAATACTAGTAGACAAAGGTTGCTTTTGTCTTTGGACATATGAATCTTCATATTAGATACAGCTTAGCTACAAGTGCTTATTTTTTAAGGAAATTTTTGAAACACTTGTAGCAATATGTGATGACTATGAGAGATCTTGTCCAGTCATCTGTAGATTTAGGTGTCAACAGGAAGACAAAAGAACCCTTTGTCTATTTTCCCTGCTCGCGCACATTCACTGTCACATTGTTTTGTTTTATAGAAGTACCATATTTTTGTCTTGTAATTTAAATGTAAAGTAAGGGGAAGAGGTCAACACAACACAGTTTGACACTCACACATAGATTAATATTTTGTGGGGAGCAAGATATGCAGAGAAAGCTGGGGAGGGGGGGTGTGTACCAAAACTGAAATGTATACCAGAAAATTTTACTGAAATTACAGGGCTCCAGACTAACTTTTTGACTTAGGAGCAGCAAACAACCTGTACATGAAAGATCTGCATGTGATATTAATATGCAAATTAGTTGATTCAAGGGGGAATTAAAAACTTTGCAATAGCTCAATTGGTAGAGTGCTCGCTTTTTAACCGGGAGGTCGTGAGTTCAAACCCCGGCCGGGTCATACCAAAGACTTTAAAAATGGTACACACTTCTTTCTCTGCTTAGCACTCAGCATCTATGAGAAAGGGTGTGGGAAGGTCAAACACACAGCACTACCACGTAGTACCAGCGGACCAGCCCCCTGCTGTAGTGCATTGCACAACTGTGTGTCGCCCAAGGGCTACAGAAATGGATATGGGCACCACCCTACGCTCTGCGTAAGAGCATGGGAGACCTTTCCTTTTTTCCTTTCTGTTTTAGGCTTAAAAGTTGGGGGAAAACGTGAAATGAAATTGAGTACTAGTCTAGTGTCATTTTGTTGCATTCAAGACTATATAGCCTTGTTTTGTCAATTTTTCAGTGATTTTACTAGATGATTTTCATCAAAGTTACGTTTTCCTTTGCAAAATAGTTTGAAATTTGCACATGAAAGAATGTGTTTCAGAAAATATGAAATCAAGCTTCTAATATGGAGAAAAGCTTGAAATTGTTACATTTTACTATACTTCACATGTTACCAGGCACAATCCAGTTTATTTTGGGTCCCAATTCGATTCTGTATGCCATGAAGACTTGAGAATCATTTCACCCTTCTTCTTTCACATTCTTATCACTCATTATCAGAATGAAATTGCACCTTCTGAAAAGTTTCCCATACTGCCTATCCAATACAGCTTTGGTGCTTTAAAATAATAACGGTAGTAACAAAAAAAAATCTTGACTAGTAGTACCTAGCACGTCGGCAGAACATACTGCACCTGTGCAAAACCCGTAATGTATTAATATGCATAGCACTTTGCCACTTAGACAGAAGGTCATATTTGTGCATGTTAACATCCCGTCTGTAGTTTCCAAATGTTGTTTCAGAAAAGATATCGTATGCAATGCAGGAAAAATTCTGATGAAACATTGACCAAACATCCAACGAAAATCGTGAAAAAACAGGGTTTGCACAGGCGCAGTACGTTCTGCTGACATCCTGTAGTACCCTGATTACACTCCATCCCTTTTGAGTTTGAAAAAAAAACATAGTCTGCCAAGGAAGGTCACGGACCAGATCAGTGTAACCAGTCCTTGAAGTTTGTCGACGCGTCACATCCTTTGTTTTATGGCCTTGGGACCACAAGTTGTACAACTGTTCTCTGAGGCACAGACAGCTGCTTTACAATTGAAATTTCACAAGGAATATTTGAAGGCAGCATGCTTTTATCTCACATTGCATCTCGTGCATTTCTTGACTTTGTTATAAAAAAAAAAAATCTGTGTGAAACAAGATTTTGTTACAGTAAGTTGAATGTAGCAAAGTTTCTACCCATACTACGGTAGACCAACCCAAAATGACCCAGTACAATCAAAGATTGTCATGCCATTGAAATCCAAGGCAAACTGGACAATTTCACCAGGATTTATAAAATTCAAAAATTGCAGTTGCTAAATGCTTGAAAGCGATGTGGTTGTCATTGGGCCATGTGCAGTCTCAACTCAGACAGGTGGTTGGCTTGGGCAAGCCCCTTAATGCTTGAAGAAAATTTCAGTGCATAATAATATTGGTCTATTTGAAGAGGTGGTTGGACATGCAGTTTGACTGTACAATATCTTTTTCCACAATGTCTTTTTTCTTTCTGAGTAGTGGTGTTGGATTCTACTTCTGATCGTCCTACAAAGGATGGGAAAGAAGAAGATGAAGAAATCCGGAACTGAGATGGAGGAAGAAGAGGAGCCTGAAGAGTATGTTGTGGAGGAGGTCCGTGATCGGCGTATTCGTGGTGGCAAGGTGGAGTTCCTTCTGAAGTGGAAGGGGTACTCAGAGTAAGTTCTGCACATCTTCTCTTGTGATATTCATCAACCTTTTTATATGAACTCCATACTATGTATGTGGGTGAAATATATTATTTTTCGGACCATCTTTGTGCTAATATGTTACATCTATAGTGAGTGCAGTAGCGTAATATTTATTATTACGAAGACTTATCATTCAACAAACATAACTACAGCGATACTCCTTACCCATGCCATGTATCTTGCACGTTTTTCTTCTTGCTGCTGCTTTACTGAACTTAAGATAGAGTTACTCTGTAGTTCAGTGCTCGAAGTAGTCAATTTATTTTCTGCAATATTTGATGCTAGCTTGTTAATTCATTTATTAGTAAGCTTGCCAAAATACAAACATATTTCTGCAGTTGGATATTTCAAACCTTTATTTGCTAGTATTGTCCAGATATTTGCTTTCCTAACTATTGGTTAATTTTTTTCAGGATCGAAAATACCTGGGAGCCAGAGGAAAACCTGGACTGTCCTGACCTGATTGCTGAGTTCATGAGGAAGTACAACCAGAATAAGGCGGCAAAAACAGAAGAAAAGAAGAGAAAATCCACAACCACCGTGAACGGCACAGAAGAGTCAAAAAGGAAAAGGAAGGCAGAAGAGGTATGGTTGGTGGGACCAGTTTAATGCATGCATTTCATGAATAAATCATGAAGGCATGTTTTCATTACTGTTCATGATGACTTTTCAGTGTAAATATGTTTGAGCAAAACTATTGCCCTTCGGTTTATTGTATTCCAAATATCTTTCTTAAAGTTAAACCTTGTGAGCCAGCATCCATTTTTACTTTGGTCTATAGAACTTGCGCTTTGGAAATGTAGTGGAGGGTGTGAAAGAAATAATGGCAATAGTTTCTGAATTTTGTATGATCCATACTTACAAATTCTACGTTACATGTGAAATTTGCCACTGCGTTTACAGTGTATGCTGAAAAAAAGTTTGAGGACCAAATTTTATGTCCTACTAGTACACATCTCTTCTGGGAGAGTTTTTAAGTGTGTTCTTGCCTTAGCCTCAGCAATACATGTACATACAAGTAAACCCCTAATGTCACAACTCTAGAAAAGTGGCAGCCCTAGGAAGACCAGGACGCACATGGTGATGTATGAGGTTGGTGATTGGGTGCACTGGAGTATGTCCTCTTTGATTCACACCAAACCCTCCTCTGGATTTGTTGTCGCTAACAGTCTTGAATTTGGTTGACGTATCACTTTGTGTGGTCAAAACATCCTTCGTAACATGCTTTGCAGTTTTGCCTTTGAATCTTTTATGTATTTTTTTCCAAACATCACCTTTGACTTGATTTAGATAAGGAGTTGATGCGACCGTGTTACCAAAAAGAATCAGTCACGAGTAAAACAGTAACCGTGAAATCAAGCTTGTTGTTACATGGTAACAGGTGCTCTGGTCTTTTTTGTAGTAGGTCATGAAAACGAACAAGAAATCTTCTGAGTATTTGGTCCCTGTCGAATAGCACAAACGATGTATTCCCTTCCCTCCAATAGGGCCCGGCACTTTTGTGATAAGAACACAAATGACAGTATATAGACACAATATGCCAGGAGACTTTTTGATGTTGACATTGACCTCTGTATTGAACCTAGGATGATGAGGACAAACCACGCGGCTTTGACAGAGGTCTTGAGCCAGAGAGAATTATCGGAGCTACAGATTCCAGTGGAGAGCTCATGTTCCTCATGAAGTGGTGAGTGAAATCTTATGAGGTTGAACTTTTCACTTAGAAGTAATCTACACGATTTAGAGTCTGCAATGATGTGGAAAGGCAGTACACATAAGCTACCTGATTCATCTAAGAAACTGTGTCACAGTTTCTAAGATGATTCAGGTAGCTTATGCCATATATAAAAGCAATGCTGGCACACAGGCCAATTATTCTGATTCTTGTCCTGAAGACTTGACTGATGTTGATTGAACAGACAAGCCATTTGTTATAAAGAAGGCCAGGAGAAAAAGATGAAGTGAAGAAGATCGACAGAAAAAGAACAGTTTGATATCTGTTTAACCACTTGTATTGCAAATTACTGATATAGCAGCATCTGTATCTGTAATCATGCTAGATATGAACTTGTTCGTGTTATATTGTTTGCTCTTGTATTGATAAGCTTGGATTTACTGTAATCATAATCATAATTTTGATTTGTACACCAGCTCATTATGTACCTTTGTCCTTTCTTATTATTATCATTACCTTGTTTTATTGCTTCCTTTTATGTGTGAGGAGAGGGCTGGCATAAGTTTCATAACTTTTTGCCCAATCCTCGAAAAATAAATGTGAATAAAATAAAATAAATCATAATTAGATCTGAATAGTTGTCTCACCACTAATCTGATTGCATATCTGTGTGTGTGTCTGCAGGAAGGGGAGCGAGGAGGCAGACCTGGTTCCGGCGCGGATAGCCAACGTAAAATGCCCGCAGATCGTCATCCAGTTCTACGAGGAGAGGCTGACCTGGCATTCCTACCCCAGTGAAGAGAACCAGAACGACTCGGGCAGCACTTCAGAGACTACAAACGAAGTCTGATGGCAGCCCATTTTCCAGAGCTATTTTTTTCCTTTCATATCGTTATCGAAAGTACTTTCTGGATAGGATAAGAAGAAGATGTTCTCGCACCAAGGAGCATATTCTTCTGTAGTGATACTCTTAACAAGTCGGTCGATGTAACTTACACTGATAGAAATGCAT